AGGCAGTATCGAGCCAAACCTTTAAAAGAAAAAAGGTGGAGCCAAACCTTTGAACAAAAAACACCCCGCCTTTAGGGTAGTTATGTAGGATAATGGAAAAGAAGATGACAGTTGCTAATTCGCCCCATTGTTAAATGTAGCGTGGGTACACACACATATATACAGAGAGGGATATACACCACTAATCGAGAATCAAATGGAAAAGAACTGAAAAACGAAATGGACACTGGCGTGACACAGCAGTTGCATGGCATCAGGGTTACCCCTACTAGTACCTAGGGTACCTCTAATTCGGAAACCCTGGTCCTGCTGTTCCCCTAAACCTTAAACCCTAAGCCCTAAACCCTAAACCCTCCATGAAGAGGCTCCCTACCTTGGTCTTGTGTTTGAAGCGTGGCTTCGTGCTGCTATTTGGTAGTTTCCATAAATAAGGGATCCTACTAGAGATATAGATCCCAATGTACTATGATCCTTACTACAGGGACCCCGAAAAAAGTATCCACCCGTTTTGGGAAACCCCCATTTCAAATCTTTAAGTCCCTCTATTGCAACGCGCAAGCCCTAAAACCTTCAATCTCAAACCCTAATGAAGACCCCTGATTAACAAACACCCTCCCCTGAATAGGGATTATAATAGGGATCCTAATATTTAGGCCCTTCAAAGGAGGGAGTTTATTAATCATGAGTATAAGCCCTAATCCCTAATCCCTAACTCCTAAACCCCTAAACCCTAAACCGCAACCCCTACATTATTCAAGCGATTCAGTTCCAGACCCAAGGAAGTCTCGCGAAGAGCCGGAAGCATCCGAAAAGGCCGACTGATGTCTCCTGGCCTGATTTGGGGGTTTCCCAGAATTAGGGGTACCTTTAAAGGGAATATAGGGTTATATGATAAGTTATACAGGGGTATATATAGGGATTTATAAGTTGTAGGGGTTTCAAAAAATTAGGGGTACCTTTTTCGGGGTCCCAATAATGAGGACTATAGTATTTTGGGGTCTATATTGGCGTCCTCCTATTTCGGGAAAGTGCCATTTGCATAGAGACGTCGTGTGATGGCATAGTTTTGACGCGCTGCCCGCAATCCTTACTTGGAGGGTCAGAGGGACGTAGTAAGTAGGTTGATAATGGGGGTAAGTAGGGTTATTGTATGCATTATAGGGGTTATTAACCTACTTGCTAAGTCCCCCCGACCCTCCAAGTACAAAGCCTTCTAAGGTCTTATACCGTGGCTTGCTCTCAAGCGGCCAGCTCTGGGACTAATTGGCATCAGCGTGGTCCTGATCACCATGGACAACGGGTGCAGGTAGCAAACAACGGTACACGTCACCCTATAGAAGGGGAAAAAGGTGTCTGCGGCCCTTCGACTCAGCCAAGTTTGGGCATTGGGAGGTGGCAAAGTTCCCTCCTTGGTGTCTAAGATCGCACCACAGATCCAGCGCTGCAAGCATGGGTGAGTGCCCCATTTACATCTGGTTAGGAGGGAAAGAAGGAGTGGAGAAGAGATGGGCACTCCTGTAATATTGGGGCTTATACAGGAACTACTATATGAATCTATTCCTTCATTCCTTGCAAACCAGAGGTATGCCAAGCGGGACGGAAAACAGGTGTTTGTGTTCACCTGGTGTCACCATGCCACAGCCATAGATGCAGAGGAAATGCGGAAGGTTTCTAACACTAGGCTTACTGATTCTGAGTTGGGAACAAGGGAATGTGTTATATAGTGATTCTATAAGAATTATATACGAAATATGAGAACACAATCCTTAAATAGTCCCTATATAATATTTCCCTTATTCACTACGAAGGACCAGTAAGCAAGGGGTTTGGTGTCCGTATTGGGGTCATGCTCATCATGGAACCCCCCTGTATTGACTTGTGGTCTGAACCCTGGAAGAGGCTGATTATGGTTATTACTATTACTATTATTCCTATTGATATTATCAGGGATTCTCAAGCTATTGTATCTATTGCAGCATATCACAATGCGAAGAATATTTACTCTAGACCCTGAATCATACAGTAGTTTCCATTTACGCTTCCATTTTTCTGGGGTGGGGTGGTTTTCAGTGGTAGGAGCTGATCAGCGCAGGTGTTGCAACCGCAGCGGGATCTTCTCGCACGGTTACGACTGTCAACCTGATCGACAGGTGGGATCTATTCGGCTGCCTGTGCTTTGGTTTAGGGTTTACTGTTTCGGGTTTGAACTCAGGAGTTGTGCTATTCTATCCCCCAAGACCCACAGCTCAACGTCAGCATGGGTGAGTTAGGGTTGTCCCAATAGCGCTGTGGCAGGATGGCAGCCGGAGCAGCTTCGCGATCCGTCCAGGTGACTGATGCTTGTTGCCGGTCTTCTGGTAGGGTTCAGGGTCCAGGGTTTAGGGTCTCTACCTGGACCCAGCAGTTTGAGGTGGTGAAATAATCTACGCGAACACACGGGCTAGCTGCAGGTGCCGCAGGGATCCAGATCAGAAAGCCTATCCTATCTTCCAGTCTTGGCTAAGTCCGCACTACACGGCCCTCAAAGCTGCAAGGTGTCCGGACAATGGAAAAGAAGCCACTTAGGAATTTCTACGTGCTGCCTCAGAATACACCCACATTACTTCAAGGGTCATACCCAGCTTCAAAACAACCAAGGGACGTACGGTGGTTTCCACAAATAGTGGGACCCCAACATAGACGCTCAAATATTATACTCCTTAGTACAGGTACCCTATCAAGGGACCGCTGATTTACGGCAGAGGGGAGCCCTTAACCCTGAGCCCTAAACTGAACCATAAAGCCTGAACCCTATAAACCACGAACCTTAAATCCTGAGCACTAAACCTTAAACCCTAAGCCCTAAACGCTAAACCCTAAGCCCTAAACCCTTATAAACCGCTGATGGCGCTTTCAAAGCCAGGTGCCAAAGGCTTCACGGAAGCCCGCGAGTCCTAAAGCCGATCCGGAGCCTAAGGCGAAGCCGAGGCAGCTTTCAGGGGGCAATGTGGGGAAAGTTTGATCCGAGTCAGGTAAGGGTTTAGGGTTTTGGGCTGTGGGGTTTAGGGTTTTGGGGTTTTGGGGTTTTGGAATTTGGGGTTTTGGGGTTTAGGGTTTTGGGTTTGGGGTTGTGGGGTTTAGGTTTTAAGGTTGAGGGTTTAGGGTTTTGGGGAATCTTTTAATTTAAGGGTTCCCAAAGGTTTGCAGGAGAAGGTGTGGGGGAAGTTATTTTCCCTAATGTTTTTGATCAACTACCGTGCGGGGTACCCACAGGATAGGGACATCTAGCCCCCTTTCAAAGATTATTTCTGGGATATATACGTGTAATGGAAAAACAAATGGAAAGTATGATTTAGAATTTGGGCTTAGGGGGAAGCAAATCTACAAGAACGTGGAAAAAAAAGGGGCAAGTTTTATTTAGGGTGTAGAGTTCAAGGATAGTACTCCAGAAATGGATAACCAAACTGTATATCCTACTATTTACGTTGTAGGTTTTTAGAGAACTCTTACCTCCAAAATGGAGAATTCAAGTGAAAATCACATGAAAAATGCATGGAAACCCTGGGTTTCTTTACCGAGTTCAGGGTCTGGGGATGTTCAGGGGCTGACGCCAGGGACGGGCAACGTCAGAGGGCAACTTGTCGAGGTTGATATTTTGTCAAGGGACACCAGCAGACTCGCGCCGTAAGTCAGCTTCCGCGCGGCGTGCGCGCATCGCGGGCGGCGCCTCTCACCAGAAAGCCCGGCCGAGAGCAGGGCGTCTGGTGTGTGTGATGTTGCTCTTTATGTGCTGCAACACTGCAGGTAAAACTTACTCGGCTCAGACGGGCACCTTCCACTCCCTCAGATCATAGTACACGCTCACAAAGGTCGGCAGATTACCCCAAGAATGGAGAAGCACATGGAACATCAAATGGAAAATAAAATCGAAACTGGAAGTATATTGGGTTTAGGGCTTAGGGATAATACCCCTAAGAATGGGAGAATCAAATGGAAAAGAAGATGGACAATGACAGAGAATGAGGAGTTCTGTGGGGGTCTATAGGTTCTAGTGTTTCCAAAGATGTGCTTTAAAGTTTCTCTCCTCATAAGAGGATCATAATATTCTCTGGAGGTGTATACAGGAAACTCACATATGGTAGTTTGCAAAATTCGGGTCCCTTTTGGAATTTGTTTTAGGGGGGTTGAGGTTTGAGTTCCCATGGCCCCATGCCTAGTTGCAACCCGAAACATGATGTAAGATTCGCTGGCTTGGCAGAAGCTCCAGCTAAACACCTTGTTCCCCGTGCCAGAAGGGAATTTGCTATCAGCGCACATCTTGTCGTAGGCCTCCTGTCGTAGGCTGTATACACTACGTTTGACATTACAAATCCTACTTGACTGTAGTGTACTGTGATACGGGAGTTCTCAAGGTATAAGCTTAGGGTCATGCAGGAACTTGTCTATCAACCCCCATTATCTGATTTTGTGCTGGGAAGGCCTCCGGCAACGGCTTTTAGTGTGTGGTCCTGGTCTGATTCTGCGGGCGAAGGCAGGGTGGGGATGAGGGTTGCCCCATTCATCAAATGTATTGTGTAAAGGAAGGATGCAGAACCTGGACCCCCCCCAACATGAACCCATAACTACATTGGGTAAATATAGGATTCTTGGGGGGTTCATTTGTTGGATCCTAGGGGGTCTAGAGAAGTGACGAATTCCTGGTGTTCAAGGCAGTTTGCATAGCTTTGCTTCCAGAAACCTCTGCAGGATCAGCGGAGGAAGCAAGGTCGACTTCGGATGCTGGCCGGACAATTGGCAAGGGCAAAGGCAAAAGTATGAAGGGCAAGGACCTGAAACGACAAAGGGCGTGTTTGGGTTCCGTAGTTTTAGTTCGGCAGTATTCATCGCACGTGAGGTCCAGATTAGTTTGTCATGCCCAGCTTTTTCAACAAGACGTTTAGATGCCAGTGTCGGTGAGGACAAACACGCGGATCCTGGCTTGGAGAAGGGCAAAGCGAAAGGCAAGGAGAAGGGGAAGGAGAAGGGGAAGGAGAAGGGGAAGGAAAAGGGCTTGGAGAAAGGCAAAGAGAAGGGCGTGGAGAAGGGCAAGGATAAAGGTGCGGAGAAGGGCAAGGACAAAGGCGCTGACAAAGGCGCTGAGAAGGGCAAGGAAAGGAGGACGGAGAAGGGCAAGGGGACGGAGAAGAGCAATGACAAGGGGATGGAGAAGGGCAAGGGCAAGCAGAAGGCTGCGGAAAAAGCAGCCCCACAGGCCGCCGCTCATGAGAGAAAGGCGACAGCGGAGGAGAAAGCCCCGCAGAAAGGGAAAGAGAAGGGCAAGGAGAAGAGCCCAAAAGGGCCAGAGAAAGGAAAAGGAAAAGCTGAGAGCAAAGTCCAAGGAAAGGGTGCCAGTTCCAAACCGGAACGCAGAGAAGCCAGCGACTCCTACGGTGTTTCCCTCAGCTACTGCTACTCGTAGGGTCATATTGGGGTTATATGGGGGGTTCTATTGGGTTTATATTGGGGTTATATTGGGATAATGGAAAATAACATAGAAACTACTAGTTAGGGTGTCTTCAGCAGTACTCCTGGCTGCCCGAAAAGCACGACACCCGGAATGTCTTCAGGGTGTGGCTCCTCTTCTGACACCTGCTCCTCAACTTCCACGTAACTAAAAGGATTGCATGTCGCGAAATCACCCGAACAATAATGGTACGGGAGATAGTTGTATTCATACCCGTACAATTTCCCCTAAACCCTAAACCCCTGAAAAGCGCAGTCACTGCTTGTTTGTGCCCTCGAAGCAGCTGAGGCGATGTGGGCGACGTCTGGAAGCTTCTCTGAGCCTTTGCTCGTCCTCTCAGCGAAGCCAGGCAGAGCCCTTTGAAGAAGCCTGAGGTTATATTGGGGTTATATGATGGGGTTCATATTGGGTTTAAATTGGGGTTATATTGGGGTTATGTTGGGGTTTGTATTGGGGTTTATATTGGGGTTCTATGGGTTATATTGGGTTTATATTAGGGTTATATTGGGATAGTGGAAAATGAAATGGAAACTCCTATTTAGGTTGGTTTGATTTTCTTATTGTATTTTATTCCCGGAATTCGTAGAAGCTTAGTTCTGCAAGAGTCTCCACCTGGAACCAGGTCCTGCCTCCTCATTCCTGGTGCGCTGCTAGGACATGGGCTAACCCCTAGTCCATGTGTCACGCTGCTCGATTCTACTCGCGCCCGCACGCTGCAAAGAGCATGTACTTGAGCACACTAGTCGTGACCAGTACTTTCATCTGCACGAGCAGCAGTACAACCATACCATAGTAATTTTTCATTTTCTTTTCCATCATCCCCATGTAACCCTAATAGAACCCTAACATAACCCCAAT